TAAATATTATCTAACCTCGACGGTGAAAGTCTGCAGACTTCTGCCCCTTGGATGAAAAATCTATAGCAATTACTTGCCTATTAAATGCTGTCCATTTTGCACTAATCTCACCAGTAATTCCTGCCAAGTGTGTAGCATTTGCTGTGCTCTGGATGTGCTCCAGAGCCATGGGAGTGAGCTGACAGCAGGGGTAGGGGAATTGCCTGGATGATGCCAAAGGGCAATGCCTGTGGCAGGCAGAGGCACCTGGGAGAATGATTGACAGGTTGATTGACAGAATGATTGACATCCTGGTCTGAGACACCTTAGCAACAGCCTGTGGTGACTCAGGTCAGCTGATGAAGGGCTTTCTGTGGTGAATGACTGATTTAAGGTGCAAAATTTGTCTGTCAGGACCACATGCTGGCCTGACTCACCCCACAGCTGCATGGCTCAGCATGGCTGGGAGATCTAATGACTAGGAAGATGCGTCAAATGCCCACTCTAGAACATTTTATAATACACTAAAAGCCTGTACAGTCACCTCATGGCCATAACCCAGCCTGTGGGCAGCCAAGAGTTTATCACTGAAGCTCAGGAATACTTTTTAAAATCAGACACTATTATTTATGACCACAGTGGATGCTTTCACCTTCACACACTGGTGTCACATCAGCAAACTTGGAGTAAACTAGGAGGAACAGTTGTCACTTGCAGTGTAATTTCGATTACAGTCTGCTCCTTCAGATGTGCAGAAGGTCCCAGAGGTGATGTCCAGGGTCAGGCAGTGCCAAAGGGTACAGGGTAGTACTGTGTGTGGTGCAGACAGAGAATTAAGAGTGTGCTTGCACAAAATGCTGCACAGCACAGAGCAGCTCTGCTCTCCACTCAGTGGTGTGCGTGGGATATAAATATGAGGAACATTTTGTTACACACCCTCCCTGTCAGTTTTGGATATTTGCCTGTCATGTAAAAAGAGAGAAAAGGCAATTTTAAAAACCATCTGAGGGTCTGCACCAACTGCAGGGCTCATGTGCATATCTACACAGGCCTCTGAGCATCCAAATCCTTCCTGAACCCAAATTCAGCCCCCTCTAGCACCATGTGACCCTTGCATGCTGTTTGTTTGTCCCCAGGTGTCTCCAGGTCCATGAACTACCTGCCTACCTGGGCTGGGCCACTGAATTATGCCGAGGACTGCACCCACATGGAAATATTGCATGTATCAACATGGAAATATTATTGACATGCAAATATTAGGAATGTTCCGCTGCTGAGTATCAGTTCCACTCACTGAGGTTTGCATGAACATGCAAAAGTTAGGAAACAGCTGCTTTCAAAACAGCTGCCTCTGAATAGCAAATGCATATTTTGCATTAGATTTAGTTTGCATGAGAAGGGATTTACTCTTGATGCTATGAGACCTGCCAAGAATGGCACAGAGACCCTCAGCCTGTGCCTGCTGCCAGCCTGTCTGCAAAGTGCCAGCTGTTGAAATTGTACCAAAGGGTCTTGCTGTCTAAGAGCAGGGCATATACATACTCATGTGTAAACAAACAAACAAACAAATAAATAAACATTTTATACTCATGTGTAAACAAATAAATAAATAAATGTTTATATTTAAAAGTGTGTAGGAAAAGGTTTCTTGCCCTGGGAGCACATACTTAATAGAAGACAATAGGGTAGTTCAGTTGGAAGGGACCTACTGCTAGTCCTATGGCCTGACCACTTCAGGACTGACCAGAATTTAAAGCACCTTATGAAGGGCATTTTCCAAATGCCTCTTAAACACCAGCAGCCATGGGACATCAACCACCTCTGTCAAACATAGGCTCTGTGGAGACCTGAGAGCACCTTTCAGTACCTGAAGAGAGCCTACAAGGGAGCTGGAGAGGGACTTTGGACAAGGGCATGGACAAGGGGGAATGGCCTGGGTAGGTAGGATTAGATATATTAGGAATAAATTATTGACTGTGAGGGTGGTGAGGCCCTGGCACAGGTTGCCCAGAGAAGCTGTGGCTGCCCCATCCCTGGAAGTGTTCAAGACCAAGCTAGGTGGGGCTTCAAGCAACCTGGTCTAGGGGAAGGTGTCCCTGTCCATGGCAGAAGGTATGGAATGAGATAATGTCCCTTCCAACTGAAACCATTCTGTGATCCTATGACATAGAAAGCCCAGTGATGAGATCCATCAGTGTGGAGCTGCTGGCTTTGCTCTGTGCTGTCAGCTAGAGCAGCATTGCACTAATGTGACAGAAATGCTCTATTATAGAAAAAAAAGGATTTTTCCTGATATTGGATGGTGTTTCTGACAGAGAACCTGAATCCTGAGTGCCTACAAAATCAGAGCCCTGCAGGAAGAGGAAAGGGTTTGTCTTCTCTTGGGCAAGATTTACACTTGGAATGTCCATGTCTGGATCCAGGCAGTGCTGGGGCCCAGGGGCTCCCTGTGAGAGGAGGTTGGGGCTGCACCATGCCAGGCACACTGTGGTGTTTCCTCAAGTGTTGATGGCATCAGGGTTTTGACCAGACCAAGACAAAACCCCTGACCCTGTAGATGGGCATGTGTGAACAGAGATGTGTGTGTGTGCTGTGCTCACTCTTGGTTTCTCTGGTTTCTCTCCCAGAGCAGAGGTGGAGAGCAGGAACTACCGCAGGAAAGCTGCACTGAGAAAAATCCCCTTAGACCAGAGAGATGAAGACTGGGAACTCAAGAAAGAAGAGCTTAAGAAAAATCCGCCATGTTTTTGGGAGAAGTGTACAGCCTCTATTCTAAAGAAAAATGGGGGAAAAAGGGGGAAGCAGTAGTGTGTCCTGCCTGTTTGGTGCCTCTGAGCACTTGCAATGCAGAGCAAAGGCGCTGGCAGACCTCAGGTGGATATGCAATGTGATATTTGGATGAATGGAAGAAGCAGAAGGCTACAAGAGTGCATCCTTAGAGATATACTGTAAACAATCTCCTTAAGAGCTAGAAGTGCTTCAGCCTCTATGTGTGTTTCTATGTATCCGATCTCAAAAACAACTGAAGAATATGTTTAAATATACCAATACTGTAAATCACTGCAATGTTTAGAGTTACTGCAATGGCAGCAGTTACACATATTGCCAGGGGAAAAAATAGTCTTAATCCTACCTGATTCACCAAAGCATCTTGGACTGTGATTCTGCTTGCTCTGCTGATGTCTGTGGCCTTTGCATCTTTGCTTCTGTCACTGAGTCAACCAGGAGGCTCGACATGGACTTGTAGCCTCTGGTGATGCCTCTTTTCTTGGACGTGGGATATACTTGCTTCTTCTGGATGAAGTTGAGATATTAATGTTGAGCTTTCACTGGACACATGGATCCAACAGCCTGAATCTTCCATTCCTGGCCCAGCAAAAGGGAAAATGTGGCTGTGACTACTAAGGGTATTGGAGCACTGCCTTTTTTTTAGCTTTGTCCCCAGCCATTTTTATGTTTCTGCAAATAGGAATGGTGTGCAACTGGTCCTAAGCTCTGCTTCTGCTCTTCAACACTATCCATGGCAAAAGCATTTTTAACACTTTCACTTATCAGTCATAAAATTTGGAATGTGACCCAGAGTTGTTTTCCGTAGCGTGCCAGCCCTGGGCAGCCATTGCCATTGACTTGTGACATCTCTCATGTGTCAGCTTCTCCAGGCTGGGCACATCCTGCAGCTGTGGCCATGGGCTGTGCAGGGTGGCTGTGCTGAAGTGCACAGTGCGTGGGGCTGGTGCACAGGACAGGGATTCTGTGCTGGCTGTCACATTCTCAGGGGTTCATGGGGATGGAAAGAAGGACCCCAGTGTAGTTCACTGGGGCTGTGGTGTTGTGTGTGATAACATCTGCAAGGTGCTGGATTTTCCTGCTGAGTCTTGTGGCAGTATGTGAGGTTGTGAGGGATGGATGTAGGGAATAAGAGAGATCTTCCAGGGCTTTCCTGTGAAAGTGTTTGGATTGTTATGTAAAAGGATGAAGTTAATGAGCAGCATCAGAGGAAGAAGGGATGTGTGGCTGTTCCTGTCCTTTCAAGGCCTTTCATAGGAGAGATGTGTCCAGCAGAGATGCTTACAATCTGCCTCTGGACCTGAGTTGGTGGTAGAAGTGACCAATTCAGGTTCTGCTCTGTTCTGTATGTTTCACCTGCTGTGGGGTTCGGCCTTGGGGAGCAGCCAGACACCCACTCAGGTGTTCCTTCACTGTCACCCATAAACAGGGTGGAAAATAGGGTGGAAAAGCTGATGGATCGAGATAAAGACAGTGAAATCACTCACCAGTTACTGTCACAGACGAAACAGACTTGATGTGCAGAAAATGAATTTAATTACCTACTGAAAGTAGAGTAGGATGATGAGAAATAAACACAAACTAGAACCCACTGCTTCCACTACCCTTCCATCCAAAGCTCAACTTCCCTCCTTCATCCCCAGCTCCTCCACCTCCTCCCCAACAGCAGCACAAGGGGAAGGAAAATGAAAGTGCAGTCAGTTCACAGTGAGTTGTCTCCACTCCCTTGTCATGCTGTTTCCCTGATCCAGAACAAAACCTGGGGGTTTTACTGAGGCAGAGTGCACTGGGCAAAGCCAATCCCATCTCCAGGTGAGGCCAGCAGAGCAGTCCCACAGAGCAGGCAGTGCTGTCCTTGCAGGCAGTGGGGCACAGGGGACACGCAGGGCTGCAGTGGGAAGGGGGCTCTGCACCCCCTGAGCTCCCCGGGGCCGTTCCTGCCTGGCTGTTTGTGGGTGAGTGAGCAGCTCTGGTGAGTGCCAGGGCTCAGCGTGTTCACACAGAGCTATCAGCCACTGCCAGACAGTGACACAGCCCAGAACAGATCACACAGCACAGGGCCACAGCAGAAGGAAAGGTAAACCAAAACAGAGAGAAACCCTGCAGTTGATTTTAGTTGTTTGAATGAGAAAACACCAGAGCATTTGGTGGCCAGTTTGCAGTAATTTTATTGCCCTTTTACAGCCAGTGCCTGTACCAGGTCTAAATAACTTGGTAACTGACAATAATTAAATTCAAGCAAGAAAAAAAGAAGGGAAAAAATGTTTATCCATTTTGATATTTGCTGTCCCAAAATTTCCTCGTCCAGTGGAATTGCTGTTGCAGTGCGGTTTATCAGCGATGTCATAGGCAACGATGCCAACAGCCAAAGCTAAAATCCCTGATCCCAAGAGAAGCCAGGGCACAATCCTGTCAATTTTTACTTTCAGATAGATGAAGGACCTGTTCCTGAAATTGGCAATTTTTATACAATAAAAACTACAAAGCGACGCAGAAAACCACAAGTGGCAATGATTAAAAAAGGCTTCAAAAAATACAGCTAGTTGAAGTATGGTGTGAACATAAAGGTAATTGGGATAAATAAAGGAAAGAAATTTATATACCCAGGCGATGCACAAATAGCAAAACCTGGAGCATCCCAGCAGCAGCAAGATCTTCTCATTAGAGTTCAGGATTTTCTTTTTGACCCAGGCAATGCAAAGCACACAAACGATGAAAGCATTTATCCACATGCCAGCAACTACCTCCACGGTGATGATGGCCACAGTTGTGGCCCCATATGAAGTGACATTGGATTGCTGTGGAGAGGGAGAAGCTTCCATGGTGTGAGCTGGGGAGCAGAGCTGTGCTGGCCCAGGGGGCTGTGGCAGCAGAGGCTGAGGCAGGTCAGTGGCTGCTGTTGGTGGAATGTCAGGGATGGCAAGAGGAGCTTTACAGAGCTGCTGCTGCTGCTGGGGGGATTTTGGTGTCGCTGCTGTGGGCAGCAGGGCAGGTGCAGGGATGTAAATGTGCTGGGTGTCCCCTTACCTGGGGCCAGAGTCACTCTTGACTATTTGAATGTTGGTTCAGGGGAGCTGTGCTTGGTGCCACAAACAGCGGAGATGTTTTTGTGTGGTGGAGAGTGTTGTGATTTTGAGAGTGATTTCTGTTTGATCAGTGTCAGGCTTCAGGATCAGGTTCTTCTATTCCTTTGCCGTGTACTATGTGCAATTTCTTTTTTTATTGCACTCACTTTTAGATGGGATTTTTTTTGTTATTTTTTTACATTTATGATAGGCACACTATTGCCTCGAGGAAATTTTTGATTTCCTGCTAATGCCTGTTCTCTGCTGAAGGCTTTGATGTGAGTTTCCTCCATAGATTCTTCTATTCCTTTGTGACATACTATGTGCAATTTTATTTTTTTTATTGCACTCAGTTTTAGATGGGATTTTTTTTTGTTATTTTTTTACATTTATGATAGGCACACTATTGCCTCGAGGAAATTTTTGATTTCCTGCTAATGCCTGTTCTCTGCTGAAGGCTTTGATGTGAGTTTCCTCCTCTGTTCCTGAATGAATAGAAAACACTCTGTGGGGTTGTTGGATTTTTTTTTCCCTTGTTTCTTTGCTTGCTTGCTTCTTTCTTTTTCTCTCCATATCTTTGTGAATAAAAGTTTTTTCTATTACATCTGGTGTGTAGTTGGACGGTCTGTACTGGGACTATGCAGGACCACACCATGGCTGAAATTTGGGCTCAGCTCTGCATGGGGAATCTGAACCCTTGAAATCAATATAATATAAAATCAGAGTCTCAAATACCAGGTTTTCAGTGCATGGAATGTGTGGATTGGGTCTTTAAAACACGGGGTCTGCTTTTAGTTCAAAGCCTTCCCCTCCAGTGTCATTGGAGAAGGGGAAAGTTTCACCAAGACTTTGTACCTACCACCCCCTGTGGAGACTGTGTGGTCTTGGGAAAAGGAAATATTGTAGTGATTAAGATGTTACTCTGGTTTAAAAGGTTGTCTCTCTCATTTCATGAACAGGAGCAAATCTTTTTGAAGGTAATATGAAAAAACCACACCTGGCACTGTGTATGCAGTAAATTGTCCCTCTGAGACAGAGCTGCTGGAAGAAATCAACAGTTAGATTCTGTTCTGTTGATGTTGGAATTATTTAATATTTACATGACCTGCTGTGGGTTGTTAAAATTGATACATGCGAGACCCTCCACCCAGCCTCTTCTTCACCCTTGCTCTGCAACAGGTCAAGAGGAAAATAGAAGATGGAAAAGGTCATGGGTTCAGATAAGGACAGGGAGATCACCTGCCAGTTACTGTCATGGAGAAAACAGACTCAATTTTCCAAAAATCAATTGAATTTATTGCTGTTTGAATACAGAGTAGGATGGTGAGGAACAAGCACAAAACTAGAGCACTGTCCCTTCCACCCTTCTTCATCACAGCTCAAAATTCACTTTCATTCCCAGCTTCCCCACCTCCTCCCCAGCATGGTGCAGGGTGACACTGAATAGGGGTTGCAGTCAGTCCATAAAAAGTTTTCTCTTCCACTCCTTCCTCTTCATGCTCTCTTCCCTTCTAGAGTGTGGACCCCATCTGTGGGCTGCAGTCCTTCAGGATCAGACGTCTTCAATATGGGTGCTCCTCAGACTGCAGTTCTTCAAGATACAGCCATCCCACCCAGTGTTACAAGTGGTAAAATTGCAAAAATATTGCAAAAAACAGAGACACAGCAGAAAGAAATAGAAACCCAAACACAAATAAACCTGATGCTGAGTACAGTCATTTTTCAATCAGCAAATGCCAAAGTGCTTGAGGAAGGTTTGCAGTACTCTTATTGTCCCTTTGCATCCAGCTCATGTACCAGATATAAATGAATTTGTTATTGACAAGAATTGAACTCTGAGAATTACCAAAATGAACTGCTACCAATAATCTAAGTCATACTCATTTGACTCAAAGAATTTGAAAGATTTATTCTTAACTTTGGTGCTAAAGAGAGAACATCTGTATCATCTATACTGCCCAGAGAGTTGCATTAGAGATAAAATTACTTTTGTCTTATAGTGAAATATGAAGACTTTGCATAGGCTCCAGCTTTTATTACAGTTCCTACCTCATGCAATCCTTGCACTTGACACAGGATAGAATCCTTACCAGTGTCTTTTCCAGCTTGGGATTGCTGAAAATCAGAATAAGGGAATGAACACCTGGAAAAGCATACAAAAATAGTAAACTAAGAAATACCACATGATTTTCTTCCTTTGTTGAAGGAATTAGTGACAGGATCAAAACTATGAAGTTAATACTATACATTATAAAAAAGGAGAGAATAGATTTCATGGCTTTGATGTGGGCATCCATGCTGAGGGTCTTCATGGAGTTTTTCTGCATCTTGCATTTGTGTCTCCAGAGAGAAAAGAGAAGGAGAAGGGCAGAAGAGATGACTGCTGTGAAAGATGTGACAAATCCAAAGCCATAGATAAAATATATCTGGAAAAAATTTTCATCCATTTGGCCACTAACTTGTGAAAAATTTCCTTGCCTGGTGGAATTGTGGTCGATACTGAGCTTTGTAACAGCCAAGTCATAGGCAATGATGCCGATAGCCAAGGCTGAAAGCAATGATGCCAACAAAAGCCAGGGCACAATCCTGTCTGTTTTTACTTTCAGGTAGATGAAGAAGCTGTTCCTGAAATTGGCAATTTTTATACAATAAAAAACACAAAGAGAGGCTGAAACCCACAAGTTGGAACAATTAGAAAAACTTTGAAAAAATACAATCAGTTGAAATGTGGGTTGCACATAAAGGTAATTGGGATAAGTTATTGAAAGGGAGCAATACACCCATGAGAAGCACAAATAGCAAAACCTGGAGCATCCCAGCAGCAGCAAGATCTTCTCATTGGAGTTCAAGGTTTTCTTTTTGACCCAGGCAACGCAAAGCACACAAACAAGGAAGCCATTTATCCACATGCCAGGAAATGCCTCCAGGGTGATGATGGCCACACCTTCTGTCTCATGATAACCTCCAATAAAGAAGTCAGTTTTGGATGTATTCAGTGAAAACTATTCTTTATTTTGTTAATTTTTGATATTGATAGTGGGTAGAGCACTGCCTTGAGAGAATTTTAATTTCCTGATATTCCTGTTGTCTGCCTTATGCTTTGATGTGTGTTACCTCTCTGGTTTTGCTGATAGCAGAAAAACATAGCATAGGATAAGGCATTTCTTTCCTTATTTATTAGTTTTCTTTTCTTTCTTTCTTTCTTTCTTTCTTTCTTTCTTTCTTTCTAGCATCTTCCCTTCTTACAACCTGTACATGGCTGTACATGTACAATGTACAATGTAAACCTGACAATTTACAATGTAAACCTTTACAATGTAAACCTGACGTGGGGCAGCAGTGCATCTGTGTCAAACCTCTGACTTTGCTCTATGCTCTCAGCCAGGGCAGCATTGCACTGATGGGACAGAGCTGCTGTATTAAAAAAAAAAAGGATTTTTCCTGATATTTGATGGTCTTGTGGAGAGAGCTCCATAAACCCAAAGAAAAAGGATTTTTCCTGATATTTGATGGTCTTGTGGAGAGAGCTCACATAAACCCTGAGTGCCTACAAAATCAGAGCCCTGCAGGAAGAGGAAAGGGTTTGTCTTCTCTTGGGCAAGATTTACACTTGGAATGTCCATGTCTGGATCCAGGCAGTGCTGGGGCCCAGGGGCTCCCTGTGAGGGGAGGTTGGGGCTGCACCATGCTGGGCACACTGTGGTGTTTCCTTAAGTTTTGGTGGCATCAGCGTTTTGACCAGACCAAGACAACCCCTGACCCTGTAGATGGGCCCCTGTGAGTGCAGCTGTGTCTGTGCTGGGCTGTACTGTACAGGTGTAGAGCAGGAACTGCCACAGGAAAGTCCCAGTAAGAGGAATCCCCATTACACCAGAGAGGTGAAGACTGGGAATTCCAAAAAGAAGGGCTTGAGAGAAACCTGCCATGTTTTCTGGAGACCTGCACAACCTCTGCTCAAAAGAAAAAAATGGAACTAAAAGGGGAAAGCAGTAGTGTGTTGTGTCTCTTTGGTAGCCTCTGGTGGTGCCTCTTTCCTGTTTTTTGAGGGGGTGCTTCCCTCTCCCGTTTTCAGGCTGTGAGCTGAGAAATGTTCGCTAGGCCTCGGCCTTGATGAGCAGCACCGGGGCCCGGCTCCTCCTGAGCTCATCAGAACTACTGTCTGCTGCCAGGAACTGCTGCTGCCTCATGAGATCCTGGGCTTTTTTATGGACAGCCTAAGAAATCACTTTTTTTTCTGCCTGAATGACATAACATCCTGATTCTCACACTTTCAAAGAAAGAGTGTTGAACTGAAGTGCAGCCAGGATGAAACATTGTTATGACTAAAGCCCACTTTCTTGCAGGCACTATAAACAAAAATGAGGGTCCAAAATGAGACCCTTTGAACTCTCCTAGCGTGCTGTGACCAGTGGGGTCTCACATAGCTGGGAACTCTCAAGTTTCTGTGCTCAGAGAATCCCAAACAACAACTGATCCTGGGCCAATCCCCTCATTCCTCGAGGCTCAACCCTTGGCCTGGTGAAGAGATGTAAAGACATCCAAAGTGAATATTTCTCTGCCTTTGAGGGGAAATTTTCACAGGTACCTTGCAGTGACTCTTTCTGTCTGTGTGCATATACATGTGAATATGCTTTGACAAACATGGGAGAAATGCTGCTCTCTTAAATGTTTAAGTATCTTAGATATTTATGTAAGTTAGGCCTGTAAATAAGTTTAATATAAGCTAAAAGCTAAGATAATTGCTGTAAAGTGTTATTGCTTTGCTAAATTCTTACATTTAATATGAAAGTTAAGTACTTTTGAGTGTTGTTAAGCTTTGAGGCCTTATTCCTTTTTATCCTTGCCCTTTCTGTCATTTTGTTGCACACACCAAAACATACACACACACACAGATAGTCCTCGTTCATTTCTGTTTTCATTGATGGGATTTTTTCCCTGTTTTTTTACCCTTGGTGTGCCTTAATTATCTAGTAAGTAGTAGGGTGAATCTTGCCAACAAACTTCATTATGCTCTTGATTATTATTAAATCTGTTTTTTACTGATACATCTGCCAATGATTTTTGAAGCAATCTCAAACACTCATTTTGTAACAGGGCTGTAGTTGCTTCTGTCTGAAGGGGAGATGTTGATGTTGGGCTTTCTCTGGACACGTGGGTTGAACAGGCTGTAACTCCCATTCCTGGCCCAGCAAAAGGGAACAGGTGCTCATCACTTCTTTCATGTCTCTATGACTTCCAAGAGTGTTGGAGCACTGCCTTGTTTTTAGCAGTGCCCCCAGCCCCTTTTATGTCTCTGCTCAGGGGTATGTTATATCCTGAAGGCCTTGGGCTTTAGCTTCTCCCTTGTCTGAGGGAGGCCTCAGATGTTTGGTCTCCACCCCTGGCAGATACTTTCCTCCTGGAATAAGAGGCCAAACCCTGCCATGAATGGGTGGAAAATGCACCATTGGCACCAGGCATAGGATAAGATGTCCCTCTGTGCCTAAGCTAGTGACAGAAATGAACAAACCAGATTCTGCTCTGTTCATGCTGGAATTATTTCATGTTCAGAGAATGTGCTGGGGTTTGTTGAGTTTGGGAAGGTGCCATGCCCCCACTCAGCTGCTCCGTTATTCTTGTTCTGCAGGAGGCCAACGATAGAATAGAAGGTGTTACTGTCATGGAGAAAACAGACTTGAGTTGAGAAAAATGAATTTACTTTATTGGCTATTGATAATAGAGTAGCATAATGAGCATCAAGCACAAAACTAGAACCCTTTGCCTTCCCCTCTTTATCTTCACAAATCAAAATTCACTTTCATTCCTGGCTTCTCCACCTCCTCTGCCACAGTGGCGTGGGGGGACATGGAATGAGGGGTCCAGTCAGTGCATAAAAAGTTTTCCACTTCTTCCTCCTCGCTTTCTTCCATGCTCAAGTGTGAATCCCATCTGTGGGTTGCAGTCCTTCAGGATCAGGCAGCTCTGACATGTCATCGCCATAGGCTGTAGTCTTTCAAGTTGCACCTACCACCCCCAGTGTTACAAGTGATAATATTGCAAAAAACAGAGACACAGCAGAAAGAAATAGAAACCCAAACACAAATAAACCTGATGCTGAGTACAGTCATTTTTCAATCAGCAAATGCCAAAGTGCTTGAGGAAGGTTTGCAGTACTCTTATTGTCCCTTTGCATCCAGCCCATGTACCAGATCTAGATGAATTTGCTATTGACAAGAATTGAACTCAGAGAATTACCTTAATGAATTACCTGAATTACCTAAATGAACTGCTACCAATAATCTAAGTCATACTCATTTGTTTCAAAGAATTTGAGATTTATTCTTAACTTCAGTGGTAAAGAGAGAACATCTGTATCATCTACCTGGACATTTCCATTACAGATAAATTGACTTCTGTCTTATAATGAAATATCAAGATTTTGTGTGGGCTCCAGCTTTTATTACAGTTCCTGTCTCATGCAATCCTTGCATTTGACACAGGATAGAATCCTTATCAGTGTGTTTTCCAGTCTAGGATTGCTGAAAATCAGAATAAGGGAATGAACACCTGGAAAAGCATACAGAAATGCAAAAATAAGAAAAGCCACATGATTTTCTTCCTTACTTGCATAAATCAGTGTCAAAATAAAAAATGTAAAGTTGATGCTGTGCATTACTAAGAAGGAGAGAATAGATTTCATGGCTTTGTTGTGGGCATCCATGCTGAGGCTGTTCATGGAGTTTGTCTGCATCTTGCATTTGTGTCTCCAGAGAGAAAAGAGAAGGAAAACAGCAGAAAAGACAACTGCTCTTTATGAAGTGGAAAATACAAATCCTATGACAAAAAAAAAAAGGCAGTAAATGTTCATCCAGTCTGATAATGTGTTTCAGATAATATCCTTGACTACTGTCATTGTGATTGTTACTGTGTTTCATAAGAGATGTGATAAACAAGAATGCTGAAAATAAAGACCAAAAGCACAGATTCAACATGAGCCAGGGCACAATCTTGTCAATTTTTACTTCTGCATAAATGAAGAAGCTGTTCCTGAAATTGACAATTTTTATACAATAAGAAACATGCAAAGACTGGCTGAAACTCATATGTTTGAACAATCAAAAAAGCTTTGAAAACCTGCAAGCGATTCATGTAGGAGAGGAACACAAAAGTGATAGGGATGCATTATTAAAAGAAAATAATAGACCCATGAGATTCATAAATACCCAAACTTGCAGCATCCCAATAGCAGCAAGACCTTCTCATTACATTTCAGGGTTTTCTTTTTGACCCAGCCAATGCAAAGCACAGAAACAAGGAAAGCACTCATCCACATGCCAGTAAATGCCTGGAGGGTGATTGTCTTAGGTTGTGAGGTGTAGCTGGGGGTGTATATTCTATTGCCATCTGTTAGAGGTAAGGTAGTTTTCTTCTGTTAATTGGGCCACCTGTTAAAACCAGATGGGACAGTTTTATCTCTTCCAAGACCAATCCTCCCTCAGGCGAGGTATCTACTGTTAATGGGCTATTGAGTGTCTCTGCATGACTGATAAAATTACATCATCCCATTGGGAGATGCTCCACCCAAGGGGAGGAGCCAAGCACTCCTACCTAGATATAATCTCTGTTTGGAGCACTAGAGGTAGCCTTTTCCCACTGGATTCCTAGAGAACGACCAGGCCCATCTACAGCACTACTGGACCTTCAGAGGAAAACCCCACCCATCTACAGGATCACTGCTTCAACCACACCTGGCCCTGCAGGAGGGCTGCAGCCACCATTTAATCGGATTGCTCCCAACACCCGGATCCACAAGGTGTCAGGTTGTATTCTGAGTGTGAGTAGTTTTTTTTGTACAACTCCATTTCTATTTCTAATTTTCCTAGTAAAGAACTGTAATTCTTATTCCCCTATCTTTTCCAGAGATTCAACCTCACTGCTGGAAATGTGGATTTTATTTTGATGCTTCACAGGCACTGAAATCCATGTTTGCTTGGCCAATGGGATTGCCTTAAGAATAATTGTTGAGCCGCATAGTGGTGTAGGTGATAGGGGCCAAGAAAGTAAAGCTGCTACTTTTTACGAGTTTAATTTGGATTGTATAGATGAAAAGGGGAAAAATTGGAACAAGTTCCTGTGCCAGGGTTCTGATCTCATCTGCTTGGGAAAGTTAAGGCTTGTAAAGATGGCACCATGCTGAGTTCCCCTCACCCTGCGGTGCCCTAAAGCTTCCATATCAATTTAGACCCTGAAAGCTGTGAGGTTTTTCCTGGGCGAGTTGTGTGAAGCTCTGTAGGGCATGGACTGCCCATGCACTTTGGGCTAGTCCATGACCTGTCACATTTGGCCTTGCACATCAGGACCACAATAAGCAAGGAGATCTCATTTGATGCTGTGGTGGAAGCAGGAAAAATGAAACCCCAACCAAGAGCTCTATGGCTAGAGGAAATGAACCACCAGCATTTTCTCTCTTCCAAATAATGATAGCCATGTTTTCTGTGGGATATGAGAGCCAGCAGTGTTTTACATGGATATTCATATCACATCCTCCTAATTGTTTTATTTTTGTCCATCATACAGCCTTGGAATGTGACCCAGAGCAGTTTTCCATACTGTGCCAGCCCTGGGCAGCCATTGCCATTGACTTGTGACATCTCTCATGTGTCAGCTTCTCCAGGCTGGGCACATCCTGCAGCTGTGGCCATGGGCTGTGCAGGGTGGCTGTGCTGATGGACACGCTGTCCCCTGCAGTGCCAGCTGAGTGGGGCTGGTGCACAGGACAGGGAATTGGTGCTGGCTGTCCCATTGTCAGGGATTTCACAGAAATGGCAGAACGGAACTGAAGGGATCTGCAGTGTGGTTCCCTGTGGCTGTGGTGTTTTGTGTGGTAACATCTGCAAGGTGCTCTGTTTTTCCTGCTGAGTCTTGTGGCATGGAATGTTGTGAGGGGTGGTTATATCATTGAATGTAGGAAATAAGATGGGTCTTCCAGGGCTTTACTCTGAAAACTGTCAGAACTGTCAGGTTAAAGGATGAAGTGCATGGGCAGCAGCAGAGGAAGAAGGGATGTGTGGCTGTTCCTGGCCTTTCCAGTCTTTTCACAGGGGAGATGTGTGAGGTGCAGAGCTGTTTACAATCTGGCTCTGGACCTGAGCTGCTGGTAGAAGTGACCAGTTCAGGTTCATTTTGTATACACTGGCACTATTTTGTATTTCACAAGTTGTGATGGGTTGACCTCAGGGAGAAGCCAGAATTCCACCGAGGTGTTCCTTCTCTCTCACCCACAGTAAGGGCAGGGTTGAAAAAGAGGCCGGCAGAATTCATGGTTCTAGATAAAGGCACAAAGACCACTCAACTGTTGCTGTCATAGTGACATCAGGAAAATGAATTTTATTTACGGAAATATAGAAAAGGTATTAGGATAATGAGAGAGAAACAGAAAACCATATCTCACTGCCTCCACACCCCTTTCATCCCAGGCTCAATTTTGTTCCTTCATCCCCAGCTCCTCCACCTCCTCCCAAAAAGCAGCACAGGGGAAAGTCGAATAGGGGCTGCAGTCAGCCCTTAATAAGTTGGCTCCTGCACTCCTGACACCTCAAGAGCAGTTTCCCCAATCGAGAGCAAAGCCTGTTAGCTGGGGATTTCACTGAGGCAGAGTGCACTGGGAAAAGCCAATCCCACCTCTAGGTCAGGCCAGCAGAGCAGTCCCACAGAGCAGGCAATGCTGTCCTTGCAGGCAGTGGGGCACAGGGCACACGCAGGGCTGCAGTGGGAAGGGGGCTCTGCACCCTAAAAGAAGAAAATAAGGCAGAGCAATGGCTAATTCGTGAAGCTCAACTTCACCACCAGTGAAGCCTATGAAGTAGAATTTCACCCGGGTACAATCTGACAGGATCAGAAGAGCAAATCTGTACGCAGAGCTGTTCCCTGCTTTGGGCAGAAGAGCAAAGCAATCCTGTTGTCCTGTCTGCACAGATGAGGTTGTAAATGACTTTGTTAAAAACAAAAATATATCAACAATATTTATCTAGTTTTAAATATGATAATAATATATTTAGCTCACAATAATATTTCGTAATAGATATGAATGAAGTTTTCTTAAATTGGACGTTGAAGAGTGAACATGAGTATCATCTACACTGTCTGGAGAGCTGCATTGGAAACTAAATTACTTGTTTTCTACAGTGGATGATCAACATTTGGCATGGGCTTCAGCTTTTATCACAGATCCTATGTCATGGAATACTTGCTCTTCACCCAGGAGAGAATCTTCATCAGTTCCTTTTCCAGCTTGGAATTGCTGAAAATCAGAATAAGGGAATGAACTCCTGGAAAAGCACACAGATATATATATAAAAGGAGTGTCATGATATTTTCTTTCTTTGTGCAAAAAATTATTGTCAAGACCAAACATACAAAGTTGATGCTGTACATCACTAAGAAGGAGAGGACAGATTTCGTGGCTCTGATGTGGGCATCCATGCTGAGGTCCTTCATGGAGTTTGTCTGCATCCTGCGCTTGTGTCTCCAGAGGGAAAAGAGAAGGCAAACAGCAGAAAAGACGACTACCATTAATGAAGCAGCAAATACAAGGCCGGCAAGAAAAAAAGAAGCGAAAAGATGTTTATCTGCTCTGATAGTTACTTCCCAAAAATCTCCTTGGCAGGTGAAATTGATGTTGTTTCTCTGCAGAGTTTCCTTGAGGTCAGAGTTAAAGGTGCTGATAGTCAAGGCTAAAATCTCTGACCCCAACAAGAGCCAGGGCACCATCCTGTCAATTTTTACTTTCAGGTAGATGAAGAAGCTGTTCCTGAAATTGGCAATTTTTATGCAGTAGAAACCACAAAGACAGGCTGAGACCCACAAGTTGGAACAATTAAAGAAGCTTGCAAAAGTTCTAAGTGGTTGACGTATGGTTTGAACTTGAAGG